TGTATAGCCATCTTTGAATGCTAATAAAGAGCTTGACACCGCTCCATGGAAATGCCTGTCTTTGGCTTATAATAGCTATACCAATACTATTACACTAGCATTATGTCCATAATTCTCTGGTATATTTCTGGTGCCGATTTGATACCGAAGGGTAAACGTAGCCACCTGTATCTTCCTGCCGGAGTATTGAATGTTGTTAGAAGACTTGATTCGTAGTCTAGCTTGATCTGCAAGAAACCTGATTTGGCATAAATCACTGTGAATACCTTGGCTCCTGGCCTGCCTGCCAGAACTTCTTCTATGGTGGGTATTGGGTATTGTTCTTTTCGTATTGCCCAGTTTAGATCCTTGGGGTCAATACATATCCTGATTTTATTTTTCTTCAGGGCTACCACCATAGAGCTCACCCAGTCCGTTGGACTTACTACTTTAGCTATTTGACCTTCACTCTCCATCTCCTTTAGCTTTGTCTTAACTTTTGGGAGGAGAGCTTGAGGCTGACGTCTTGGTCCGTGGACTGCAGGTTAAACTGTCGGATCAATCTTGAGATGATATATACCTGGGAGTGTGCCAGTTGTCTCCCTTAGCTCAGGGTATTTGTCAATCTCTTCTCTCAGTGTTACTTCGCGTATTTTTTTGATCAGACCAAGTTTCGTACTTGCTTGGCCTGACAGCAGTGGCTTTTGTTGTGCATCCACTACGTAGAATGTAACATTTGTTGTCTGATCTTTGTACTGTGCCTTCAGAGTCATGCATCCGAGGACCTTAATCCTGTGACCTGTGTAGGACTGCAATCTATTCTCTATTGGCACAAGATTACTAGTTGACTTTAATGACTTATACATGCTGTATGGCATAAGCGATTGTACAGCTCCTGTGTCTATCTGCACTCTGGTATCTTGCCCTTCTATGGTAACATGTTCCCACCAATCATTGGTGCTGGGGTCACTGTTGGACAATACAGTGTGTATCAGATGAGTGTAATCTGTATTTGTCTGAAGCCAGAATTACTTATTTGTTTACATGATCGTTGTGTGACGTCACCAGCAGCGTTACCCTACCTGGGTTCACATTCATTATACAGCTGAATTACATAATTAGATGATGTGTTATAACATGCACAGCGTTTCGTGGCCTACATAGTGTGGCATGACCTTATACGTCGGTTATGACACGTACGTACATGACCACCATTAAATTTTAAATTGCTACGGATCTGTCGACCAATCAGAGCCCGCATAGGCCATTTTACATCATCTACGACTATGTAACAACAGGTAGAAAATACAAAGACTTCTTTTTTAAGTTTTTAATTTTAGCATATTATTTGTGGCGGAGGGTTAACTGTTCAGTGTTCGACGGTTAATGGCATCGGGTAATTGTAGAGCGGGAGTTATCCGGTGGTTATTGCCCGGGAGGGGGGGGGTGATTGTTCGTGGTGATTGCACGTTCGTATTTATCCTACAACCGTATAAAGGCATACATTTACAGCTGGTCATCGCGTACGAGAATGATTGAATTAATTTAGTGGTTGCGTGTAATTTTGTACTGGGAGCTTTTCATGAAATTTTCTTTAGTGGTTCGCATGGAAGTTTGCTGCATATATGCAAGATAATGGCTTTTCTCCCGCTGGCTATTTGATACGAGTATGATATTGTAGTGTAGAATATATCTCGAGCGTAGACAGTAGGACGTAACAGTTGTATAAACGGTGACAATTACAGTTTTATTACAAACAGGGATAAAAGCAGTGTGCACGTACCGATCAGAGGTTGCCGTCGTCCCTGAACATTTTCATGAGTAATGTGCCAAAGTCCCCATGTCTGCATCTCAAAGCTGAAACGCTGCACTACATTTCACTCCGCCATAAGAAAAGTCGATGAAATCGGCTTAGCCCAGTCTCCCGACTGGGAGAAAACTCTCGATAAATATTTTTGAGCGGATGGCTTATGTGAGCCACGAACAACGTGGAGGGCTGTACTATCATCGTGATATGTCCGATTGTAACTGTAACCGCTTAAGTATATAATCGTACCATACTGATAACATAACCGCAGCCGCACAATAGCAAAACTATAGTCAACCGGCAAGCGTAACATTATATCACATCGTCAAAACCCGTATATCTCCGTAAAAAACTCGCGTGCGACCTCATCGTCCTAAAATACTGCCAATCACTATAGTAATACTAATAGCATAGTATCCGCGTACAATCGTGGAAAACATATCGTGTCCCCTCGCAAGGACATCCCGTCGAAGCGTCACTAATCGCCTACCACAAAATGCGTACAACAGCTAAACAATCCCGTATAAAGGTCAAACATGGCGTACAATATTTGGGAAGAAATCGCGTACAATATTTTTTTTTAAATCGCGGATAATACGTGACAATCGCATATAAAAGTGTGTGACGTTTGAGCCAGTCACAGCCTCAAAGTGCCACAGGTTCGATCGTGGATTCACACGCCGACGCAAGCAGATACCGAAGACAACAATACCAAGTTGAGTGTTCAAACCGGGAACGCCGGTGCTTTTATTGGCCCGCCGATCAACAGGCCGGTGGCCATAAATACTACACAAACTTGGGCTGAATGCCCCGAAACAGAAACAGTAATCACACAGTAACAAGCAATGCGACTCGAAAACTCAGCATGCCTGCGTGCAGAGACGGTCAAGCCGTCAGTAAGCACCGGGCAGAGGGTGAGTCCAGGAGTGAAAAAGCGTAATCGTTTATCATACCACTCGCTGATCCTCGCGTTGTGTATCTCGAAGCACCTGGAGAGAAACACCAGTGCTTCCACCAGTGCTCCCACCAGTGTTCCTCAACTGCGAGAAACAGCAGCTTATATATACTAATTGTGGTCACGTGGTTATGCCACGTTATCATCAAACAAGATACAGGGATTCACGTCGCGTGACGTAGTCACGTGGTTATGCCACGTAATCATCAAACAAGGTACAGAGATTCACGTCGCGTGACGTAGGTGAAACCTTACATCCAAATCCCGTTCAGACGCGGATCACGTGATCTTGGTGACCCTTGACCGCTACAAGTGAAAAATCGCGTACAAAAGTTATAATTCGCGTATAAAAGTGATAATTCGTGTACAAAAGTTATAAACCGCGTAGAAAAGTTATAATTTGCGTATAAAAGAACGTGAAAAAGTGAAAAAGAAAAAGAGAAAAAAAAATTGACAGAGAATGAATATATGACCATAATTTGCATGGGGGAAATACCCGTTTGCTCACTTCGATACTACTGCCATAACCCGTTAGTTTGAGAGGGGAGAGGTTTGCCCAGCTCAATGATTATACCACGATAACCAGCGACCAACAAACCAACTTAGCAACCATCCAAGTAGGCACCCTCCAAACCGACGCCGTATGCGCGCGAGCGCGACCTCGGCGAAGGGGTCACCATGGTGTGGCGGCGGTGGAGTCGGTTGTGGCAACGGGGTCAACTACGTTAGATTGTACTATAGCATCTGTCGGTGTAATTCCTTCAGATGCTGCACGTCTTCTGGGTCATTGTACTCATTGTCTGGATCATCTGCTCGTAAACGGATGTAATACCTCTCTAACAACGAACCCTGTCTATTCGAAAATTGGTCGAACCCCTTAGGCATGTACTCCTCGTAGTCATCATGCCTGCTCACCATCCACCAGGTGTCGGTCGACTCGACCCCCGGTGGCGGGAGTGGGATGCCCCTCCCCAAATAATTTTTTACCGCTGTAAAACTGAGCGGTTGTGGCAGGTTCTCGAAATCCGGCACGCGCGAAAGATAGATGGCTGGCTCTACCATCAGTCGGTAGATCAAGCAGCCGACTATATGCACGTATTGTGCCAGGGTCAGGCGTCTGATCGCCTCTTCGCATCGACTGAACAACGCGAGGTATGCCTCCGGACCCCAGTCTCCTTCCTGGATCATGACGAGCTCCAGCAGGGGGACATCGGCGGGGTAGTCCTCTGTGCTGCAGCTTGTCGTAGCAATGCACTGCCCGGTCTCTCTCCTCCTCCGTCCGGTTGAAGGCAAGCCAGGAGTCTTCCGGGAGGTGGAAGTATTGGGGGGAATCTTCCAATGGTCGTCCCAGTCGTGCCATTCGGGGTAGGGTGGTGGTGGGACGTATGGCACGCCGTCGTCCCACTCAGCGTAGTCGGCGGCGTCGTCGTCGCCGTCCCCGTCTTCCTCCTGATTAGCCTCCTGGTTGGTCTCCTGGTCCTGGGCCTGTACCGCCCAGTGGCCCTGCAGCGCGGCGGCGACGCTGTCTGGCTCCGGTGCAGCATTCTCGGGGCGGTAGATGTCCGCCCACACGTATGTCTCGTCCTTCGGTGGCATGTTTGTTTTCTTTTTGAGTCTGGTGTGTCT